AAGGATTATCTAATGCAGTACCCATTCAATACCGTCGTGAAATTATCTACTGGCTGTTCGGGAACTTTAATCGGACAAAAATATGTGCTGACCGCTGCCCGGTGCGTTCATGATGGCGTGACGTATATAAAGGGCACGAAAAACTTGAGGGTTGGTTTTAGACGAGATCGAGACAAAGAAAGTGGTCCGGAAAAGGCTGTCGACGATGATCGAGATTTTTACTGGATTCGATCTACGGAGGTGAAAATCCCCCAAGGTTGGAAAGCTAGCAACGGTCTAAACCTCGCAAGCGAGTACGATTACGCGGTAATTCGGCTAAAAAGAAAACACGACAATGATTTCATGGATATCGGAGTAGGTAGCAGGGATGTCATCTATCCGGGTCGCCGCGTTCATTTCTCTGCTTACGACGACGACAACTCCACGGATTTGATGTATCGCTTTTGCCCAATCAGCGAAGATAATTCAGATTTGATATATCACTACTGCGATTCCAAGGCAAGCGGAGTCGGTGCAGGGATGTACATCCGTGTGTGGGACAGCCTGACGCGTGAGTGGAAACGTAAAGTAGTCGGTGTATTCAACGGCCATATGTGGGTAGAAAGCCGAGGATCTTCCGACGACTTCAACGTTGCTGTGCTTATTACGCCACTGAAATACGCACAGTTGTGTTTCTGGTTAGAAGGGGATTACAGTAGCTGCAATGGACGAAACTAACACTTCTGATTGTATGCTATATTTTATGGTGCTATACACTGGTCGCCCGCTTGTCGGGTGTGTGTACCTCGTCATACAAAGACATATATTTGAATACTGACTTTGATGTCCAGTAACAACTGTGCTACTAGTATTTCACAGTACTCCAAGTTGCATGCTATACACTTTACTATTTTCCTGGCCAATGTTATAAGAATCAAAGCGCCCGGGAATACATGTCACACACGCGACGCAGAAGTATTGGTAATTTCACTTACAATGAGCTTCAACTTTTCACATTGTTGTTAACTCATTTGATATTAACGTTGTTTGTTTCAAGTCAACCGCAAGGTCAAAGTTGAGACAATACATCGTATACGACTAGTAGTTGACTTCATATATCTATGTTCGTTGTCAATAGAAACGCATATACTAGGTAATTGCATCTGACTGTTTATTTTTCGAAAATTTAATTGTAACTTTTACAATTAGACACTCACAGCCCCGATGCTTGGCACTCCTCTGTTTGAGATCACCTCACAGTAAGCAAAATAACACAATATAATCATTTGTGCGCATGTCTATCAGCAAATATATTTTACTATTCTTGAATGTACTTTAAATTTTGAATTCATGAAATATCTCGAGGCATTAAAGTCACATTTTAACCAACCTCGCTGTGTTATCATTCGCCACATACCTCGATTCTCTGCCAGGTAATTATTGGTGCGACATAGATCCTATGTTTGATAGTATGTTCATTCAATAGTGATGCGTAAATTAAATGCAATGCCGCCATTTTAGCCGTACGGTCACCGTCGTCGTAAAACAGCGACCTTTTGCGACACTTTCTCGTGAAACTTATTTCAGTGGTGTTATGAGAATAGTCTCTAGCCCAGTAATTGTAACATTACTAGCTGCGAACGAGGATGGACAAAATGGCAAATTGTATGACGTAATCCGACAAAATCTATTATGTGACGCTGAACCCCTACAAATGATCAATTATTTATTTAGTCGGAGGTTATTTGGGTCAGTCTGGTTGTCGTACTACAACTAAACTTTTAATCCAAAATATTGTGAGGCCAAATAACTTGACGTGCAGGTATTTCTTATAAAACAATCAAAGTAGCGACGAATTTTGGCGTTTCAATTATGTTGCTTCTAAAATCCCTTTAAAACAAAATGTTACACGTTTTTTTAAGTTTAACCAACAGATTTGCCGTATCAAAAACACGCGTTCGTGACATATCTCCAGTCGCACTTCCCGAGAAAAACTTGA